CGCGCAAAATTCACGAATATGTGCGTCCGCGATAGCGATCGCGATTCAAATTGGGTATTGCGCGGCAAGATCGTGACAAGATTACTATGGCTTCGCGACGCGCAATGAAGCGCGGATTCTACTAGGGTATTTCTAAAAGAATCATTCATTCCATTTTGACTATTTCAAATACAAGAAGTACTTCATGCCAACGTACATCCAGTCCTCTAAAGTTAAATAAGAGAACATTCAAGTTATAAGGAAAAGTCGAAGGAGAATTAGTAGTGGCAACATCTAGGGCTTTCCAAGAAAAAAAACGCGTGGATAGAATAGGGAACGAGTACCATTCGTTACAGATATCTGACAATAATGAAAAATCAAAATTTGACAAAAAAGGAACAGTTAGAGGCAAGGCATAATCAATATCAAATTTTCTTATTTCACAGGTACAACAAAAGGAAATTCTGGGACAAATGGAGATAGTTCCATCACACCCGGACTTTGAGTCATAGGATGTTCTTTTGATTATCATCACGCTGCATTATCCTACCTGTTTGTTGTTGTTGAAAATGTCTTAATCTTAATAGTAATTCATGTTTTTTATCATCATCGCCTGTTGTCTCATCATCCATTTTGTAAACTCATTTGTAAGTTTATCACAATATGCTGTTAATGATGCGACTAATATTGATTTCTAACGCAGGCTGACAAACAGGAGTAACAAATTGACTAATAAATTCTTGATGAAATGTAAGATCAATTTGTTGTACAGAGGATAGGAATCGAAATTAAACAAAATAGAATAAATTAGAATTTAAGTGCAGTAGAATGCCTGAGTGTCATGAATTCTGAAATGCTCGCTAAAGGGCCCTCTCCAGAAATTATCTCCGACACTGTACATCCGATCTTGACGAAACTTTCGATTAATGTTAGGCAGGGAGTTACGGGAGTGAAAAAAATTTTTTGTCTCCAAGTCTTACCGTTTAGGAGTTTTCCAGAGATCAAGGTCCAAAAAAGACCCTAAACTGTGCCCAAGATTTTTTAATATACTTCAAGTTGGAGAGTTCGGATTTGTTTTGTTTTAAACTGGACACCTAACTACATCGACTGATGGGCGGCGATTTTTCAGTTAAGCCTTTATTGGTTTTCCAGGCAACCAGCAACCTCAAGAACCCGAAAAATCCTTCCGAGTTTTCTAAAAAGTCTCAATTTGACAAAACACCAAGGCCTAATTCAAAAATCGGCGCCGGTCAGTCGATGTAGTTTCTTTTCCTCTTTTAAGCAAAAAAAGAATAAACTCTCTACGACAAACCGCTATAAAAAGTCTTGGAACACACTTCAAGTATAACTTCTACGTAGAAAAAACGCTGTATAAAATACTCAATTTTAGGACTAGTAGAAAAATGCCTATAACTTTTTGATACAAGGTCATACAGAGTTGTGCGACATCTTATTTTGATCAGAAGAGTTTGCTCTACAAATCTGTGTGTTCAGAAAAAATTTAGTTGCATAAGTATTCAGGAGAAAACTGTTATTTGAAGAGCCAGTTTTTCGGGGCTCCTAGAAAACTTGCTCAAAATCCGCGAAAAACCATTTTTGTAACCAAAAGCGATACAGATTCTGAAAGTAGACACGTGAGGCTATCTTTCCATGTGCGTATCTCAAAATCGATTTTTTGACCGAAAATCACCATTTCTGAAGGGGGCCCTAAAGCGAAATGTACTACTGACTAAAATTTGAGGAATTATTCATATTTCTTCTATAAAACAGAATTCAGTTTGTATGCATAGACTTCTTCAATAGTCTCTATGCTTTTATTAATATTAATGCCTGATGTCAAGACATCACAGATAATTTTCTACAAATACAAAGTTTATGAAATGACATGCCATAATGAATTATTCAATGTTCAACAATTTTAACTTTACTACAGTTGGGTTTCCAAAAATCTCAAAAAATATTCAGAATTCTAGGGTCGATGAAACCGTAAATCTGATTTCGCTCAGAATTGGAAAGATTGTCGCTTGGCAGGGTACACCAAATCCTCTGCAATGTGACCACGTTCATGAGTGACCGCGTTTTGTCAGACTCGATGGTAGTCACCTATTTAGAGATGTCTTATTGTAACTTATATCATGCAGTTTATACAGTACTCACAATGTGAATTCCAGTAATAGTTATTTGCTAGTACTTACCAATCTTTCTATATTGGATATGTCAGAAATAAATAAGATATCAGTCTGTGTAACATACCTTTCTTACGTATCATAAGCTATTCTAAACTGCAGCTAGGGGTCACCTCGAAGCTTCAAGTCCGGACTTGGACTTGCTTACTTCTGTAAGATAGGCAGCTTAATACAGATAGATGAAACAAATTTTCACTCCTGTGCCTTTCAGGACTCGAAATCTGTGTGATTATCTGTCAGCATA